AAAAAAAAAAAAAAAAAAGTTATTACAATTGTGATAAGTGTAACAAAGGCAAGGTAGAGTTGTGTGGGAGACGATCTCTCTAGTCAGTGAATCAGAAGGCTTCCCCGAGGAAGTATGCTGAGCCTTGGAGGAGGTGAAGGGGTGCCAGGTGCTTTGGAATGGGCACCGATTACAGTAAGACAGGCCGGCTGGAGAAGGAGAGACTAAACCTCAGGTGTTCTCAAATGGCCCATCCTTCATGCTTCTGATGCTCAGTTCTCCTTGGGGCTCTTCCACTGTGTGTCGTCAAAACTTGTTTGTGCATCTGAAGAAGTAACACATGACCAGGAGAAGGGATTCCCCCCTCCCCCAAAGTTTAAGTGAGTGAATTTTGGATTTTGGTTTTGCTAGACTAGAAAGTCCCCAGATTATCTCAAGGTTATGTTGTGACTATGGTTTGAAGAGAGTGAACGTAGCAGTGGTTTTTCGGGTGCATTGAATTAGGAGAGCAAATGAATGGCTCTGTCCTTTCCTCCTCCAGAACTGGAGATTGTCCTGTTAAAGCTATGGATGCCTTAAATCGCCAGCCAGATTATGAAGTGGAGAGTGAAAGCAGGCCTTTGCCTGGTGCAGTGAGTGGGCAGGTGGCATTGGCCAGGCTGGATAGACGTAATGGTAAAGTGGAGCAGGAGGTTTTGTAGCCTGTCCTTTACAGCCTTGGGCTTGTTACTGGGGAGGAGGTTATTTTGTTCACTGCTGTAATACGGTTTCCATTGCCTTGTCACATGTAGTCATAACTGACTCAAAAGATGAGCACTTCACTGCTTTCTTTGGGAAAGTCGTACAAAGGGGTCAACTCCCAGAGTCTGGTTGTCTTGATGTTTAGTACATTCTTCAAACCTCATAACTTTGAAGATTCATAGTTAAAAAAAAATGCTAACCTTGTCTCAGTGCCTGTGTAGCTCAAGCGGCTAAGGTGCCAATCACATACACCAGAGCTGGCGGGTTGGAGTCCAGCCTCGGCCTGTGAAACAACAATGATAACCACAACCAAAACCTAGCCAGGCGTTGTGGCGGGTGCCTCTAATCCCAGCTACTTAGGATGCTGAGGCAAGAGAATCGCTTAAGCCTAGGAGGTGGAGGTTGCTGTGAGCTATGACACAATGGTATTCTACCCAGGGGGACAGCTTGAGGTGCTATCTCAAAAAAAAAAAAAAAGAAAACCAACCAAAAAACAAAATGCTAACCTGCAGCTAGAGGGTCTGACCTAGGCACACAACTACTGAATGGTGGTTAAGGTTTTGCTGGGGAAGCATCTGAGTTTGTCTACTTCAGCCTCTGCTTATTATTAGGGTGCTAACCTTGGCAGAAGTTCCATACTTTGTTGGAGACTTAATTTCTTCTTCTGTAACATGTACAATGCTAGTGCCACTGGTCAATTCACTTAACTCTCGAAGCCTAAAGGTTGGATTTTTTTTTTATTTATAAAATAATACAATTAATATATATGCAATCAAACATATTAATGTTGGTTGTGAGGACAAATGAAATAGTACATGTGGCGCCCAGATCAATAACTATTATTAGCTAGGGGAAAGGGGGTACTGTACGTGTTCAAAAGCCCAGGGAGCGAGGTCTTCCCTTTCGTCTTGGAAAATTTCTAAGCTGGATATGAGAAATTGGTATGATAAGTAAGATAATTCTAGGCTCGGCTCCTGTGGCTCAAGTGGCTAAGGTGCCAGCCACATACACCTAAGGTAGCGGGTTCGAATCCAGCCTGGGCCTGCCAAACAACAATGACGGCTGCAACCCAAAAATAGCTGTGCGTTGGGGCGGGCGCCTGTGGTCCTAGCTACTTGGGAGGTTGAGGCAGGAGACTCGCTTGAGCCCAGGAGTTGGAGGTTGCTGTGAGCTGTGATGCCACAACACTCTACCCAGGGGGACAGCTTGAGGCTCTGTCTCAAAAAAAAAAAAAAAAAAAAGATGATTCTAGTTAATACTTCAGTTTAGCAGATGCTGTAGTGTTTGATATGTTTCTTTGAATTTTGATCTTTGGTAGATAAACTGTTCTTCATTTACACATTTTAGTATGTTTGTTCATTAATCCAACACATCACTTACTGAGCATTTTGAAGGTACTAGGCCCTGGATAGCCAAGAAGGGATTTTGCAGTAATAACATGAACTATGATGGTGTCACCTTGTCCCATTTTAATCACCACAGACTTTCTGTGTAGATACTATTATTATCTTCATTTTATAGCTAAGAAAACAGATTTAGAGAAATGGAGTGATTTTCTAAGATCTCATAGCTAATAAACAACAGCTTCTGGCCTGGAACAGGAAAGTTTGTCTCCAAACGCTCAGGTCACAGTTCTTCCTCTAGAGGATCATGTGACCCCTCCTCCCCCTTCCTCCTTCACCTCCTGGAGAAGACTTAGAACCTCTACCGCTCCACCAAGCGCATGCACTGTTATCTGAATAGCACTCTATTTTCACTAGTATTGCCGCAACCCTGGAGGCAAGAAGAGGCAGGAACAAGAGCAGAGGCAACTTGGTCAGGAGAGACTTGGATTCTTACCATGAACAGCACCTGTGTTTTATCACCCCACTCTCCTGTGGTGGGGCACTGGGACTCTCTCTCCAACTGTTCTACTGTCCCTCCTTGGCCATGATTCTTCTCTCCCTATACGTAGAGGTCAGGCCACACCGGCTGCTTCACAGCACAGCTCCAACCCCTGACCTGCAGTGTGACCTTGGGCAAGGTAGTAACTTAGCCACCTTGAATTGTCTATTTCAGAAAGCAGAGGTCCATGGTGGCTCATGCCTGTAATCCCACCATTTTGAAAGGCCAAGGCAAGGAATCTTTTGAGCACAGGATACCTGCTGGGGCAACATAGTGAGATTCTGTCTCTATAGGAAATAAGAAAAATTAGCAGGATGTGGTAACATGCTTGTAGGCCAGCTACTCAGAATGAGGATGACACAGGATTGCTTGAGGTTGCACTGGGCTATGATCACGCCGGTGCACTCTAGCCTGGGCGACAGAGCAAGACCCTGTCTCTGGGAAAAAAAAAAAAGCAAAAGTCAGGGCTGTTAGGAATGCCTACTCCATAAAGCTATTCATCACCTAGCAGAGACAAGAGAAGTAGGAGTAAATTAATTCACATCTTTATCCTGGAGAAA